TCTGCTTCCCCCAAAAGATCTTTAAGATAGTGTTAAAAGTTATTGTCTTCAAGGTGCATGTACAAAAAGATTCCAGTAGAAATCAACCAGCAGTTATGTTATTCCAGACTCTAGATGCCAGCTTTATTTATTTAATGTTTATCCCACCTTTCTCACAAATTACAACAATTTGAAAGGTACGGCTAAATCATCAAGGTACAAAAGTTAAAAATGAATTAAATATTACTATTATTAAAAACATACTAGAAAACAAAACACGTGGACACATTTAAAATGTGGCTTAAAATAAAATAAAGGGATTAGAAAACAGCACATGATTGACACACTACTGTTCCAGCAAATTCACAATTCAAAAGCTTGCCTAGATAAAAACGTCTTCATCTGCCAACAGAAAGAGAGCAGGGAAGAGGCCAAACAAGCCTCCTATGGAAGGGAGTTTCACAGTTCAGGATCAGCTCTGAGTACTCACCAGCCACACCTGCAAAGGTTGTAGGACTAAAGGAAAAAAATCTTCAGATCTTTAGGCTCATTCTGATTTATATAATGGGATATGGTATTTCAGATAACTTGGATCCAACCATGACTTATGGTCAACTATGACATCAGTTGTAATCCAGAACATTTGGAAAGTACAAGGTTGGGGAGATTGTATTGATGCTATGGTTAGAAGATAACAGAAGTTTTTGCATGTGTTCTTTGAACTGACAAATAATTCATGCATACAAGTATTATCTGAGGCAGTAATTATAAAAAATGTTGTAATCCAGAACATTTGGAAAGTACAAGGTTGGGGATGATTGTGTTGATGCTATTGTTAGAATATAACAGAGGTTTTTGCATGTGTTGTTTAAACTGACAAATAATTCATGCATACAAGTATCATCTAAAAAAAAAAAAATGTTGGCTACACATGTGTGAACCAGATTCCAAAGCAGGGTATGCTGACCTCTTATTGCAACAGCTGTGGGGCTGTTATACAGTGGTGTAGTGGTTTGAATGTTGGACTACAATTCTAGAGATCAGGGTTGAATTCCCACTTCAGTCACAAAACCCACTGGATGACCTTGGGTGAGTCACATATTCTCAACCTCAGAGAAAGGCAATGGCAAACCTCCTCTGAAAAAAGTTTTGCCAAGAAAACCCCATCATAGGGTTGCCTTTGGGTCATCATAAGTCAAAAATTACTTGAAGGCACACAAAAGCAGCAGCAACAAGAACAACATGATACATGCCCCATGAGCTCTTCTTCTATTCTTTTGTGAGCCTGTGACAGAGCACCACATAAAATTTAAAGAAAGTTCTAACTATAATTCTTGCAAGTAATCTGCATCCTTCAAGATATTAAAAATACCAGATACTTATAATGTGTGGAGCGGTAATGGAAACTGCTTTGCAAAGCATGTATAAATTCAAGTCACAGAAAGCTTGCAATATTCTGAAAGAATGAAGACATATTCATGAAAATGTTTGCAAAAGAATTTGGTCTTATCTAATGTGATGCTGGTAGTAGTGCTGGAATTCGTGGTCCCTCCCCACTGCAGTCCTTGGAGCTACCTGGAAAAAACGGGACTGGTGGGTTTTTTCTCACTTTAAAGCATTTTTGGGGTGTTCATGTAGCTGCAGCAGGAAGATGGTTTGTAACACTCATGCTTATGGTCAATTCCACTCTTGTGCAACAGTTGCATGTATTGTTCATTGCTCAAATAAACAAAATTAGGCAACCCCTTTGGCTGCATCCCAAAAGTACAGGACAATTAAACCAGCAGAAATGGAGTTTACTGTTGCTTCCTCTTTGTGGTAACTCATCCATGTGTGTGTGTGTGTGTTGTGTACCTTCAAGTCCTTCCCAACTTATGGTGACCCTAAGATAAACCTATCATGTTTTTAAGTGTGTGGGTTTGTTTTTTGGTTTTTTTTGTTTTTTTTTGGCAAGATTTGTTCAGAGAAGGTTTGCCATTGCTTTTCCTTGAGGCTGAGAGCATATTACTTACCCAAGGTCAAGGGAATTGTTTTTTTTTTTTTTCTGAGGCATTGAGTCTTCTATGTCAGAGAGCTCTGATGCCACAATAAAATACACTTCCCATGATTCCCCAACCCTAACCCTAACCCTAAAAGTGGACTCAATTTGCACTATTTCTGGCAGTCTGCAACCCCCCAAACTGAGTAGGAAATCAAACCCTCATCTCCAGAGTAGTAGTCCAGTACACCAACCATTATGCCACCCTGGCTCCCATGGTTACTCATCCAATCTGCTACAAATGATTCAGTTAATGATCTTTATGGTTTGTGGTTCCTGAGAAGATATCATTCTACATTACACATATATTCCTTATCTGCTTTTGTTTTTAACCTCTGTATAATTCACCATTTTACTGTGCTTTCAATAATGATGAGAAGGAGAAGGAGCAACTATATAGAGGATTGTAGGGCCTGATGGCTAAATGACATGAGTTGCAGGGTGGAATGGGGTGGTATGGAAGAAATTCCGCCACCCTACCCCAAATCAGGCAGATAGGGGTATTTTGTAAAAGAAACATTTTGATCAGTTGATGGAACATCCTGGATCCAGTCTTTGGAGTTATTTTGAGCTGGACTATGAATGTTGGGAATGTTAGCAGGTTGCTGAGAAAAACCAATCAGCCACATATATCAGAACTACAGTTCTGCATTTACAAATGCTTTTACTACAAGAGACTGTTGCTGTGAGGGGTTGGAAAGGCAAGAACTAGAAATCTGAGAGCAATTTGATAGGATCGGTTAGAGAAAGAGGAACAAGGAGCTCAAAACAATGAACAAAATGGGTTATCACTCCATCTACTGTTAGAGCAGACAAATTACATCAGGGATTAACCATTTCTTTTATTTATTCATTTCTTTCTTTGTAACAAAGCCCCTCCAAATGTCTTGAAAAAGCCTACTTAAAGGGAACCACCTTCCTAGATTACCCTCTGTGTATTTTTAGGCTTTCTGCTTCCATATTTTAAAATTATAACTTGTTTTAAGGTTGTAACATTTAAAGAATTAGAGTAAAGTTTCTTAGCTTTCAGATGCAAAAAAGGGTACATGTAATATATTTTCTGTGGGACAGGGGATTTTTGGCAGATGTAACATGCAAGTTAAGCCTATAGAAATCCCCTCTTCTACACAACTATTAAAGTGACAAGAGAGCTGACCTTTATTATCTGGCATGACTGTTTTAGCAATTATATGACTTCCATATATACGTTGACAGGAAAGAACATAAGCTGTTCTCTATTTCCAGGTAGAGCAAAGTCTTAAAAAGTTACTTTTTGGATTGATTTTCCAGAATCTCCAGCAGAATAGACAAGAATAAGCAATGACTAATAAAAGAAGGTTGATACTACCACAATGCATTCAACATATTAGACAGCTTTACTGTAAGTTTGACCATGGACGTTATCACACGTGGGCCAGTTTCGTTGTTAAAGAGATAATAAAGTGGAAATGAAGCATCCCCCCAAAAAAGTGAAAAAAGAGCTTAATTCTGCAAAAGCTTTTCACATGTAAATACAGTAATAATGGAATGAAGTTAAAAGTGAAAAAAAGACGTTTTTAACTTTCATACTCAAGTGAAAAGAACACGTACATGTACTGGAAATAGGTGTGTTTTGTGACCAAACTCCTCTTTTTTCCAGGGTGGGTCCTGCATTTCCCAGGAGGAAATGT